TCCTTGCTCCAATCAAATATGGCGTAGAGCAGATGGAATGCACCACAACTTCTCAGGTTTTGGGGCCTCCATTTGAAAGGTTTCAGAGGAAGGAAACTCCTGGTATTGGTATTGCTCCCTGTAAATGTATTTTTTTTCTGCAGTAAGTGTTTTGCTTGATGCTGCTTATGGTACCCAGCATAGATTTGTTCTGTGTGTTTGCTCAGAGGCTTCTTACAGAGGAATTCCTGTGATCTTTTTTCCTCAGCTTTTGAGAGCAGCAGGAAGGAGGCCAGAACGTGCAGGCAGGAATTTGAGGAGGTGAAAAAGAGGAGGTATGAGCTGTTCAGCAGGTGCTTTGAACACGCCTCCATAGCCATTGACAGGATCTACAAGAAGCTGTGCAGGAACACCAGTGCTCAGGTGGGTCATGACCTAAGAGGCCTCACTGGATGCTTTGTTACCAAAGCAACACTTGGGCTTTGCAAACACAATCTCAGTCCTGGAGAAGGAAATGGCAGAAATAACAAAGATGCAGGAGTTCAGGGTCAGAGAAGGGAGATGACAAGCCAAAGCATGTTGGACATTAGACAGAGAAAGGTAATCTCTTAATAAAACTGGGAACTGCTCAGAGTGGAGTAGTTTTACTCTTTTTGTGTTTATCAGACTTAAAAATTATCAGGACACAAATGTGAAATGTAACTGATAATTCATTCATAGATAACACTGGTTTGCACATCTAGTGATACCAATAATAAGCAGTTAAAAACTGTCATTAATACAGACAAAACTCAAAATCATAAATCAGTGTTTTGTACAAGGTCTTGAAGCTCTGTGTATCCCACTTAAATATTTAGGAAACACAGACATAATAAGTTTGCAGCTTTTAAGAAACATGTAGAAAAATTGTCCCACAATTATCTTTGTTACTGTGCCTGTATTAATGCCAAAAGTGAAGAGGGAACTCCCTAATGCTTTGGTTACATCAAGTTCCATAGACTGTGGAGTGTTTAAAGGGTTCAGGATTGGATTCTTTTCTGTTTTAAAACATCAGATTCATCAGATTCTGTGTTTTCCCTCAACATGTTGTATATTGGTTTGGTTTTCTTCTGCTGTGTCTGTGACCCAAGAGGAGACATATGAAGTCAGGGTTAAGTGTGGAAATTTCTCTTTTATCTGTCTCCCCCTGTGCAGAGGGGAAGAGGCTTTATTCTTTTATTGTTTCTTTTATTAATGGGAAAAACAAACCATGTAGCAGAGATCTTACCCATTGTACTTTTTAGTGGTTTGGAAATATGATAATTCCTTTAAAATAACACTTTCAATTTTTGGCCTTGGGAACCAGGATACAAAGTATAGAGAAAGGCTGCTTGTATTAGTCTTTCTCCAGCTCAAAGCTGGGCTCTGTAAAGCTAACCTTCCACAAAAAAGGCTAATTTTGCAAGTGTATTGTCTTCCAAGCTAAAGAAACAAAGCTGCTTTTTAAGTCTAAAACTTTAATAACTAAAAAAAAAACCCAGTTACATAAAGGGTGATAAAATCAAGTTCGTTCAGTAGTTGAAAGTGTGCAAAAAACAAATAGGTGGTGCCATTTCCAAACTGCTTTTGTTAATGAGCCTCCTGGTTCCTTAACAAAACCATATTCCCTGGGAATTTGGTCATTTCTGCATTAGCTCAGGCAGTATTTAAACCCGTTAACAGTGCCATGTGTGTGTTTCCAGGCCTTCCTGAGCCTGGAGAATCCCGAGGAGCCCTATCTGGAAGGCATTGGCTTCAACTGTGTGGCCCCAGGCAAGCGCTTCATGCCCATGGACTGTTTGTCAGGAGGGGAGAAAACCGTGGCAGCCCTGGCCCTTGTGTTTGCCATACACAGGTAAAAATACTGCCCTGGGACTGTCCAGGGGGGGAAAAGTACTGTGGGATTCTCCAAGGAACTGCCTGAGTAAGTGGCAGGAAGAGAGACAGTGTTCCATTTACAAACACGTTAAAAAAACCTGCTAATGGAGTATTCAAGCGTTACTAAAGTTCTTATTCTTTACCTTATTCTTTGCCTGTCATGACTTTAATATTATAAATGTAGAATTTTATGTTAATTCTGAACTGTTAATTAAGTTGTGTATTATTTAATCTTGCATGTTAAGTAATATCTAATTATTTCATTAAAATAAATATAAATGTAACATTGCAAGATATTATCACAATTTTATTAGAGAGTAAGTAATTAGAATGTTTGTCAACATTTTGGCTTCTAAGTGCAAAATACTGTCTTGCCTCCTGCAGCTTTAGGCCAGCACCTTTCTTTATTTTGGATGAGATAGATGCTGCCCTGGACAACTCAAACATTGATAAAGTAAGTTATCCTTTATCAGTATCTGACACCTTTTGTAGAAGGGTGGCTGCTTGGACTGCAGGGTGTTGGGATGCAGAGATTGATTGCCCTGACTGAACCTGGTTTAAATTAGATTAGGTTTAGGGCTGAAGTGATGGTTGTGTGAGATACCAGACATGGGAGAGGTTTAAATGCCTCAATCTAAGCATGTTTGATCAGTGCCCAAGCTGGGAATGTGAGGAGAGGTGAGGAGGGTGAAGGTGTGAGCTGTGCTGTGTAACTAAGTCTCTTTCCATTCTTTCAGTTTGAGGGTTTATTAAAGCAGATCTGCAGTAAATGGAACTATACTGGGAAATGAATGTGAATTCTGTAACTTACTAAAGGCAGTTCTTCCATTAAAAAATTATTTCCATGTCAAGTAGATAAAACTGTCCAGGCAGAGGGATTATTAAAAATGGACTGGTTTTCCTTTAGGCAGCATTTCATTTATATTGAGGGACACTGCTTTACTCAGTCACCAGTTCATAACTTAGTTTGTACCTTTATTTTGCATTATCATTGAGAAACATGCTGTTGTCTGCAGTGAACTGATACATATTTCAGATCTTATTATGTAGCCAGTAACAAACTTTACACACCTTTTTTTTTTTTTACATATTCAGGAATTTCCACTTTCCTTTGTAGTTATATTAGGTGGAACTGCTTTTCATTGGCACAGACCTCTTTCTTTAACTTTATTCACTGGAGTAAATGATTTTGTTTGGTGTTCTCAAAAAGCAGCAGATCTGAGGGGTTGTCTTGAGACCATGGCAAGTATCTGGCTTAAGTGTTGTTTATTTCTCATTTTACCCAGTTTATTTCATGATGGAATTGTGCAGCTCTCCCAGTTCAGTTCCCTGATCCCAGCGTGGTTTCAGGCTGCCAGAACTGACTGAGGAAATATTTGCTTTCCTTCCAAAGGTCTCGAGTTTCATCAGGGAACAGGCCCACGAGCAGTTCCAAATGATAGTGATTTCCCTGAAGGAGGAGTTCTTCTGCAAGGCAGACGCCTTGCTTGGAGTGTGTCCAGAGGTAAGGATCCATTGGGACCAGGTTTTGTTCAGTGATGCTGGGGGGTGGTGTGGCAGTGCTGGTTCCCAGCTGCAGTGTTGGGTGCTGGGTGTGCCCTGCTGGGCAGGGACAGGCTCCGGGGAATGTCCTGGGGGAGCTCGGGCTCGGTGTCATCTCTGACACTTATGAAATGCTGATTTCTAGTAAGAGAAACGTGTTCCCTGGTGTGATCTCCCCCTTCCCAGCACGACGACATCATGTTCAGCAAAGTGCTGACCGTGGATCTCACCGAGTTCCCGGAGCAGGAACAGCAGGACAGAGCAGAGAAGCCCAGACGCAGCTCTGTGCTGGGGTAGCACGTGGGCAGAGCCAGGGGACAGCAACAGCAACGGGGTTCACAGCTGACTGTGACCAATGTGAGTTGGAACGTGGCTGTTGGAGGTTGATTTGGCAATGTTCACTTTCCAAGGGAAGCAGTTTTGCAGAACAGTCCTGGAAGGAGCTGTTCCTCCTTCGTGCAGTTTGGTTGAGGGGCGAGAGCGCCCGAGGTTGTTGCTGAGGTTGTGCCCACTGACACACAAAGTTCTCTCCCAGTGTTCTGGGGTGTTTGGGCTGTAAAGATGAAGGGTGCAAGTTCATTAGCACAGCATCCCCAAGCTGGGGTACAGAGCACTGTTTGAGGGAGATGGAATCACTTCATCTGGCCTGTGTTCCCCCTCTGTGTGTGCTAAAGAGCTTCCCATGGTTTATGGTTGTTCATAATAATTGTAATGTTCACAGAGCACGTTCCTTTTGTCCCCCAGCCTGCCCACACACACCTGCCTTGTCGTGTGCTGGGAGCCCTGGGCTTGTCCTTCCTGCTGGGCACACAGGAACATTCCAACCCCATTTATGTGCCCACTGCTCCTGCAGGCAGATGTTCATCAAACACTTGTGTTACTGCCACGCTTTGTTAATAAATGAATTTGAGGCATGAATTTATGTCAGTGCCTTCATTGAGAATCCAGTGACAGACGTGGAAAGACCTCTGGCAGTGTGAAGGGTGGATGGAGGAGCAGCCTCAGTGGTGTCCAAAGGTCTCTGACCTACAGCAGTCTGGGTGCTGCTAATACACAAGTCCTGGTTTGTTTGGGGGGTTTTAACCATTTGCTGGGAACAGGTGGTTGAGACAGAAAAATGCAGTGAAGAAAGGAACAGCCTGAAGAACGGGGACAGCTGCCACACAGGAACAGTTTACTTTAAATATTGTATTGAGAGAGTGTATGTCACCTTCAGAGATGTCCTTCCAAATTTGTTACACAGCTTGAGCAAAACAGGGTAATGTCATGGTCAACAGGTTGGTTTTCAGTAAGCATCTTACTCCCATTTAAAAAAAAAAAAAGGTTATGAGTGAAGTAGAAAAAGAGCCCTGGGCAATGGAATCACAAACAGCCTTGAAAATGCCCCTCTGTAGGATCAGCTTTTCCAAGCCACTCCAGTAATAACTGTGTCTGTGTGGTGCCCCAGTGGGAGAAGTACCAGTCCCTGGGGCCAAGAGGTGCTGCAGTGCCCCACCTTCACCCTTAGAGTAGTTCAACCCACAGCAAAGGTACACACCAGGAATTGTCTGCAGATCCATCCCTGGATACTGACTGGGCTGACAGATTCCAAAGTTACCTCTCTTGTGGCTGCAGCTGGGCAGAGTTTGGTCTGAAGAGCTTGACAGAAGTTGCACCTACTTGTCCCTGACCCTGCAGGTACAGCCTGAGGGTCTGGCCGTGCCAGGGGAGTGACTGGTGGCTCCAGCTTCATACACATCACACCTTTACAGCTTTACAAAGGAAAGGCTAATATATGTACAGTTTTATTCCACTTAAAACCATGGAAATACCAGCTCAGAACTTTCCATGCAGCAGATGTAAAACACCTACTGTTAAAAAGCTTCTGGGGTGGGCTTTGGGTGTTTGCGGTTTTTTCATTCACTAGTGGGTGTATCTGACTGCTTGATCCTCTTAGGAGAGTCAGTGCCACTTTCTCCCAACTTCCTTTTAGCACAGTCCACACATGAAGTTCCTGGGGAGGGAGAAGGAAAAAACCCCAAATTGTTGCTACATACATGTGCTTGGTGTAATTTTACTACAAGCACCAGATACAAAGGTAAACACAGTCCTGGTCCCCTAAGGTTCTTGGTTTTGGATTCTGAATTATATATAACACTAACCCTGCTGAAAGTCTGTTTTACTTGGTCTGTATTCCAAATTACAAGCAAACAGGAGCTAAAATTACCTGTAAGGAGCTTTATGTTGAGAGGAACTGGAATAAATTGTGCTCAAGTTTTTGGTTTCTCCTTTACTGATGCCTGATTTTGCTTTATTGAAAATGGGATTCATGAACTCAGTTGCAAGACAGGTAAGCCTAAGATCCAGTTGGAATTACCAACCTAATCTCTGACTTTATACACCTGCCCACCTCATGGATATTAGTATTACCTTAGAGTACTCTAGTCAGCATTAATAACTTTTTATATACACTTACTGGAGCTTTTCTATCATTTATCATTTGATTGACAGCTGAAACCCAGCAGTTACCTGCTGCTAAGCAGAAAGAAAATCAGAAGGGGAAAAAGAGAGCATGCAGCAGACTTTGAGAAGTAAAGTAGAGCAGTGCACAGTAATCATTTAGTTACTTTGGAAACAAGAGGTGTATTTTTCTCTCTTTGGTAGGATTATGGCACTTTCTGTGCCAATAAAAATGTTACTTACCCAGCAGGGTTGTGCTGTCCACCCGATCAGCATCTAGGGAAGGGGGAGAGAGCAGCAGCACAGGTTACCAGCCAGAAAGCTTTTGTAATTTAGCCACCATCCCAAAACAGCAAGGTTGTGTTTAGAATCCCAAAATGGTTTTTGGCTGGGAGGGACCTTGTAAGTGAGAGGTCCCTCTTCTCACAAGTCTGATGCCAATCAGGAATTCCCAAGAAGGAAAAGGGGAGCATTAGAATCTGATTTTTGCAGTCATTTCCATTTAGAACTTAGGCAAACCTGTGTCCCTCCCTGTTTTGATATCAATGGCTGCTCTGCAATAAATTGGATTCTCCAATGAACAGGCTCTAGGTACTGCTCAGACTATGAAAAGTACATCCATCAACACCAGTACATCAAAACCAAACCAGCAGGCTGCGTTCAGTGTCTGGAACTGCACACCAACTTACTTTTAGTTGTCTACACTGCAGATAAATGTCCTGAAAGCTCCATGCTGTGCCTAATATTTTTTTCTAGCCTCCATAGAAAGAAAAACATAATGCAGTCTAACTGGAATATTCATCAGGTCACAAAAAGCAGGATATAATTTGGGCATGCATCTGCAGTTTTCTTTGAGGGGGAGCAAGGGGAAGGTTCCTGCTATGCACCACTTGAAGTAATTTTAGACAAAACAGTTTCACTGAGTTGATAAATAAAAGAGCTGTCAAATAGTAATTCTTCCCAAGGTCATTTAGTTATTTTCCTCAGTTCTCTGCATAAACCACAGCAGACCAGTCCTGGTTTGGAAAACATGAAAGGAATATCTTTCCACTGACAGAGTTGTTTCTCCCCATTAGCCCTGACTGTGATAAGCCCAGTGAACACCTTAACCAAATGCTAACAAAAAGGCAAATTCAGAATTCAAGATCAGAGTTGCAAGAATCCCCAGCCCTCCCAAATGCACAGATTTCCAAAACCAGATCTGGTCACAGTTTGGCCACGTGTTCCAAGGCTGCCTGTCCCTCAGGAGCCAAGGAGCTGCACACGAGGTCAGCACCTCGTCCAGGGCTCACACAGGGCACTGCTGGGCACCTGTTCAATCCAGCCTGTGCTGGTGAGGAGGCCACATTCCCTGGATTTTCCTTACCTGGACTCCTCTGCTTGCAGATCTGAGCAGCGAGATCCTGGACGTACTCTGGGAATTGCTGGAAGCAGTCCCCGTAGGACACCACCTTTATCCCGTGCAGCAGCATGTCTGCCTGCAGCTTGAAAAAGTGGTCTTCGTTTTCTTTAAGCACCAACATGTAATGCTCTAAATCCACTTTGTTCTTTACTGTGTAAAGAAAAAGGGCTTGGAATATCTGGTCCCGCAGAGTCTCCCCACAGCCCAAAAACAGGAAGGACTTGGTCCGGTACAAGTTCTGAAGAACCTCCTGGGAAGGGCCAGAAACAAACAAAAGCCACATTTACTTCAGCAGGCAAAGCCAAGGTCAGGACTTCCAAAATAAGCCAGGCTGAAAAGGAGCAGCAGAGCAGAACCTTCACTAGGGAGCTGAAAGAAGCAAATGTTTTAGGACCAGGCCAAACTGACATTTTGTAACTATTGAAAAAAAATCCAAGTTATACAAATACATGGGGGTTAGAACTAGGTGACCTCTAAGGTCCCTCCCAACCCAAGCCATTCTGTGAAGTTTAAACACATAAGTGTTACCAGCAAGGGAAATTAAATTGAAAGAGTTGTGATGACAGAATATTGGGCTCCCATTAGGTCAGTCTGTAAATAAGGAGAATTAATATTCTTGACCAAATGTTTGAGTTCCTAAACCAGCTAAGATACAACATTCAGTCAAGGATCCAGAGCTGGTAACAGCCTAAGCCCCTAAATCATGAATCCAAGCAATGATATGGTGATGAATCCTTGTCCTGGTGTCCAGTATTTTGGGGCTCCTGTTCTTTCCTAAGACAAATACAAAGAACTCCAACTGAGACATCCAGCTGAGGGGTTTGACTGTGATTTAGCAGGAGTGTGTGAGGGCACTGCCCTGGCAACACAGCTGCCTTTCTGAATAATTCTGAATCATTTCTCTGGGCCCCAAGTATTTCATTTATATGACCCCCCACAGCCCCAGCCTCAGGTAACATGTCTGCAGCAGTTATGATAAAACAGTTTGGAAAACATGGTAAAAAATTTAAAGATCACACAAACCATGACTTCAGGATCCTGAGTGACATCCTTATATCCCGAGGGGTCAAGCACCATTCCACAGGGATCTGTGTATAAGCCATGGATGTGAAGAACTCCATATTTTACGTGGCCTCTCGCCCACTGAAGAACCTGAAGCAAATCACGCAGTTATAATGGACCACAATCACCAGGATCCTGGAAAACTAAACAGCTGGACTGACTTATAAACCACTTAAAGCAGAAATAACTCCTTTTGCACTTCCCTGCAGCAAGAGATTGTAATTGCTAATTACACAGCTCACTTGAAACCGTAACAAAGAGGTGATGGCTGATGCTGCAGCTGTCTCTGCCTTTTGGGGCTAAACAAGCATTCAACCAAGCAGCAAATTCCAGCAGCACTGACAGGAAAGGTATGAACAGCACAACACCTACCAGCCAGGTGAAATCCTACTTGGGATTTTAACAATGACTTCACAGAAGTTAAATAAATCTGTGGGCTTTTCACAGCGAATGTGGGGAACTGGTCAATAAATGTGTCACTGAAATTCTCCTTGGTAACTGTTACCAGATTACTCAGAGTAAACAGACACGTAAAAGAAATGTCTGGGCATCTGCTGCAGCTTATAGACATGCTCTAACAATTAACAAGCTTTAGTCTTGACACTTTTTAAACAGGAAAACATCTTTCAGTGAAGCTTTCGAGCTGCCTTGTCTTATATTAAATCTACTAATTTTACTGCTCTCATCATACCTTATCCTTATCTTTAAGGTCTAAAGATTCCATAGGTTTGCCCTGTTGCTGACCAAATATCTCGAGCAAATTATCATAGTTTGTGGTCAGAACCATTGTGCCTCTCTCCATGAGCCTCAGGATGGACTGCAGGACCACGGGGTTCTGGATGTGCTGCTCCAAATTATCAAACACCTCCATCAAGCAATCCTGGAAGAAGTTGGGCTTCGTGTCCCCGGTACGCTGAGGAGAGAGCAGAGGAACACTTCAGCAGCTCCATGATCCCTGCCTCCCACAGGAACCCACTTCACCTGGATACTTAGTGCCAGAGCATAGAGGGCTTGCACAGCACACCAAGCAAAACCACCCAAAATAAATCCCAATTTATTTCCAGTGTTGCCCTCACTCAGTGTAGCTCCAAACATTAGGCTGGGTTTCTCAAGAGAGCTTGTAATACAGGTGCAAGAAAACAGCACTAAAACTACCATTCCCTGGATTCAGAGTCTGGGATACACTATTGAAGGTGGCATTTCCTTTTTTTCTGTTTTTTCCTTCCTGGCTGAGAAAACTGTTATTAGTGATTAAATCTACCACAAACACACACAGAGTCCCCTCAAAAGTGGGGTAATTATCAGAGTAGGTAGTAGAGAGGCTGCCCACATGCTGCAAAACATTCCCCACAGCCTACACTTTGGGGCTATGTCTGTCACCCTGAATATTTCAGCTAAAAGGAAGACTTGGCAAAGGGCTTAACAGAGTCTGAAAACCTCTGGAAACTCAGTGGATGGCTGAGAACCTGGGTTTGTAGGGACTGTCTTTAGGGAAGTGATTCACTCTGTGTGGCCAAGGCCATCAGTAGGGTCAGGGCCTACCTGTATTTCCAGGGTCCTCCTAGTTTTTTCCACAGGGCTGCAAATTCCCCTTTCATTTCCCAGAAGCGAATCGCAGCGAATATTTAACAGTTAGGACTCCTGCTTGCATTAATTCTGATGAAAGCTGACTCACACTAAAACCCAGGGATGTTTTAGGCTCTCCAAAACATACGGTGTGTTACATGATTACTCACAAAATGGCCATTTTCACCAGAAAAAAGGTCAAGTTTTGGAAACAGGTTTTTGCTGGTAACTGAATAGAAGCATGAAGCGGTTTTAGAAAGGAGCAGAGGTCACAAACACACTCACCGGTGACATCTTCCTGATGAGATCGTGGGCAACCACGAGCAGGTCCCTCTCTTTGGTCACCTTCTTGCGGAATTCCGCCACGTCCCCGGGGTGCAGCACCTCCAGCTGCTCGGCTGCTCCCAGCACGGCCTCGATGCAGCTCCTCCAGGAGCACAGGGCCGGGATTCCCGGGGCCACGGCAGCGCTCACCCCCGTGCCCAGCACCACCAGCAGCTCCCGCGGCTGCTTCCGCACCAGGCTCTTCAGGAATTTTCTGCAAAACGGAAAACAAAAATTCCTTGTGCCCATCCTGAAGGCATGATGTTTCAAAGAAACAATTTTTTGGGTTTTTTTTTTTTTTTTTTTTTTTCCTGGGAAGCAGCAGTATCTTCATTCTCGTTTGTGCTCAGTGCAGGATATGTGAACACAGCAGTCATGTTGGTTCAGATCAAGGGTCCACCCAACCCACTGCTCAGACATTACTACCCACAGATCCCTCTCTGTGCTGTTTCCACACTCCCTGCACAAACCAGCACAGGGAACTCTCAGGACAATCTTTCTTGATTACTCAGCAGAGAAGTGAAAATGCTTTTAAAACCACACAGCGAAATCACTTCTGTACAAACAGGGATTTCAGTACCCCTGACTTTCCAACTGCCTTTACAGACCTTTCAATTCCTGGTAACGTGGATGTTTAACACCTCCTGTTTCACAATCATCTGAAACTGTCTAACTCGAACTACAGTGTTTAACTTGAAATGGCCCCAGGCAAAGCAACAAATAAATGTAGACGGGGTTGCCAGCTCCCGCCTACAAGGAAAATGCGTCTGACGCCCCCCATCCCTGCCTGCTACATTCAGCCCAAATTGTTTCCTCTCAGGAAGTTTTTTATTCATTCCTCACAAACGGCTTAACTGAGCATGAAGCACTCAGTCAGTGGAGAAACTAGTTACTGGAATCACTTCAAGTTTTCATGCATGATGTTCTTGTATCCAGTATTCAGTAGTTTATGCCCCCTGTGGTTTCAGATTGCCATTGAGACACTTAAATAAATCCATATATGTGTGTACATAGACACACAGACATATAAACATAACTTTTCCAACACAAGTTACCTGGATTTCTGCTCACTTCTAATTGTGGCTCGTTCTGGTGAATCCATCTCTGAGCCCTGAATAAAATAAAAAGCTTTATTAATTACAGTAGCAACCTCCCAAATTCAATAAAATCATTATCTCGCCACAGGCTGCTGCCAATACCAACATTTCAGACCTCGCTGTTTCCTTTTAGCTCCTGGAGTCGGTTCCTGGAAGCAGGAGCTGTGCAAGGAAGCGGGAGCAGCGATCCCCCCACCCCTCGGGGCCGAATAGCTGCAAGTGAGAAGGGGTCAAATCTCCCCGGAGCACCGGGAACTGCTCTGGAACATCCCCTGGGACTGCCCCAAGGCGGGGGCAGCTGCTCGGCCACCAGGTTCCCTCGTGGCACTGTGGGAGCCGCAGTGATGCGGGAACGCCGGGATGGGAGCCGGGTCCTCGCTCCGAACACACGGCGGGGACATCCAAACACCACCTAATTTCACCTTTTTTTTTTTTTTTGCTGCTCCGGGCATTAAGTTTCATTTAAGGATCTATCTACGAAACAAGAAGACTGAAGCTCCGAGCCAAAGGTTTAACGGGACGAGCGTTTCCAGGGAGCTCCATGTCCGAAAAGCGCCCCGAACGCTCCGACCCCAAGGCAGCCGCGGGCAAAGGGGATGCTCCGGACCCCTCCTGCCGCTTCCCTCCGGGAACAGCCAGGTCGGCAGCAGGAGGCTGGGCAGCACAGCCGCCCCTGCCGATCCTGGGAATGACCCGGAGGGATTCCCAGCCCTGCCCGCCGCCCGGGAAACAGCCGCGCTGCCGGCGCGTTCCGGCGGCTCCCAAAGGCAGCGTTTGCTTACGGGGTTTGGTTAAAACCGGCCCCAAACCCGCGACCGGGGGGACACGGACACATCCGAGCCCCGGGAACGGAGATGGGAACGGCCACGGCTCCCGGAAAACGCTTAAAAACCCTTAAATACCCTCCCAGGCAAAACCCCAGACCCGCGGGGCTGTGACACACACCCGGGCTCAGCGACGGGAGAGAGGGACCCCGCGGGAACGCGGGGGTGACGGGAGCCTTGGGGATGAGAAGGACGGGGGTGAGAGGAGAGGAAAGCAAAGCTAAATCCAGAGGGAAGAAGGAGCAGGAGGAGGCGGCAGCGTTACCTTCCGCAGCTCTACCGGCGAGGCGGGGCCGGCCGCGGCCGCGGCATCCTGGGGACAGCGGGTGGCACCGCACGGCTCACCTGGGCACGGGCACCTGGGCACGGCTCACCTGGGCA